CAAAACACCCACGTGACACACGAGTGACAATGAATCCTTGGATTTGTGAGTCACGAGATAGGCTCGAATAAAATACTTGGATTTGGGTCATGCCCTGATCCTGGTTTCTGCGTTGATTAGCAAAACTATGTTAAAGGCAGATGAAATTTACATCACGCAATACTACCAATAGAATAGCTGATGGATGCATGAATGATCAGACTGCATTCCAAACTGACGGTTTGGATTTTTTGTCAAGATAAGTATGATGCAGGAAGACATATAATTAAAAAGGATACTTTGCACTACTTATTAGGAATAGGATGAGGACTTGGTAGAAGCTTCCATATGAGGTAGGCATAGTGCCACATTTGGCCTTAACCTATGATGAACCAATATTAGTTAGACTCTGAGTTCTGTGACAAAGTATACTACCTGTACTTAGTAGTGAAGCAAGCGAATTGGCTAGTGACAGATGGGATTGTGGAGAGGGAGCGTCAGACACACATCTGCACTTTCTGGCCAGTCAAATACTATCATGGACACAAGAAGGCAAGTATCCAGATCCGGTCAAAACCCTGTCAAACGGAGTAAGATTATCCGTCTTTCTACTATCAATTACTCTCTTATCTTCATTGAGGGCTTTGCGAATCGTCTTTGATAGGTAAAATTGATAAAATTGGGTATAGTCTCCATCCTAAGACTTAGTAATCCATACGTTATTAGTAATTATTTTACCTTTGAGGGGGATTCTTCTGAACAGGAGTAATAACTTGCGATGGTATATTGTTCAGCTCCCATTTGGGGAACGCATAATAGAGGAGATTGTTTTAACCTCTATATTGTTTGTCCGATATATGGATGACTATGTTGTCATGTAAGTAAGGTTTGTGAGCAAGGTTTTATGTATCTTGGCATTTGGCAGTGTGAAAACGAAAGACCAGATAGGCTCATATTTTTACTTAACTAACTTGAACGAAATCTTTAGTTCATAATATAATTATAAAGAAATGGAAGTTTGTTTCTTATGCATGCATTGATTGGTAGAACATGAGCAAAGACGGGTATAGGAAAATAGCAGTTACTGGTTCAGTTCTGAATTGTATTTCTAAACAAATTTTCAAACCTAAACTTGGAATTGTGAAGTCAATTATCAGTAGAAGTATGTGTTTGCTGGGAAAAATTGTTCAACTTAAGAATTAGGAGGTCTGAATAATTTATTCCTAAAAATAATTATTATTTAACCTTTATTGATAGAATTATATCTTTAATAGGTAATACCTTTTTAGACGAATACCATTTGATACTAAATAGGTAGGCTTAAAGCTTTTATCATGCCCTAATTTTACCGTCATGCCTTACTTATAAAAGGAGATAGAAAGAGGTCGAAAAACAGTTATTAAGCAAACCCTGACAATTTCTACCTTTATGCTCTCTTTTAGGCAAAGACAATACCCATTATCATGATCCGACTGTTAGAAGATTTTGTGAGCCCGTGCTCAACCTCATGCTGATGAAAATTGTCAGCCTATTCGCCAAAGAATATAATGCGGGAATGAGCCAGGTAGACTTCGTGAGAATTATTTATATTTTTGATAATGTCTGTCATGTAACACGATGGACAAAAGTCAAGACGGACGTTGTATTCAAGCCAAATGACTGCATTACAACGGTAGTCAGTCATCATTTTTTGATGAGATGAACCCACGATCCTCTTCAGCATTTGATTTAATACGAAATTTAAAGTCTGCACGACATTGCCTTATTCACTCTAATCTTTTTGCGACAGCCTTTGGATGCCCCCGGCTCAACGGCAGATACCGCAACAGTTTTCATCATTTTTTCCCTCCTTTTAAACTGAAGAATTCTACCTAATGTTTAGGGAACTTAAAAGAATAATCTCTGCAGTGACAACATGCTCCAAGATGAAGTTGTAGAGCAGTCTTTGGGGTCTACCAAACTGAGCAATTTGCGGTTCCCTGCATGCAACAGCCCATTGCGAAAAAAGTTTTTTTCCAATTTGTCCGGAAGAGCCGAACTTTTATAGGAACCAGAGTTAGCCAAAGAAGCTTAAAGCTGGAGTCAGTTGAAATGGCAACCAGTCATAACCACAAGGCATGCAAATTCGAGTAGTTCAATAATTTAATGAGCGAACAGATTGAATAGAAAATGAAAATTTTCTCTAAAGTGACCAACAGTATTTTTCCCTAAAAGCAATTTCACCTCTGAGGCAGACTTGAACAAGAAATGCAAATTATCTCCAGGCATGGAGGTCAGAAATAAAAAAACTTAATACCTTTAGGCGTTTACAGTCCTGATGGCTGTCAACATTACGTCGAGTGATCACAAATCATAGAAAATATGTACCAGATACAACTGCTAAAAAATAAAATCACCCATCTTTATCAGACGGGGAAGCTAAGAAGCTTTCTTGTAAGCTTAATGTCGCGACGATTTGTCGTCCTGCGTTACTGGCCGTACGTCAAATGAAGAGTGAGACAGTGAGTAAAACACAAAACAGAGTGAGGCATCAAGACAGCCAGTCCAAAGAATTACCAAGTAATTCACTTTGAAATCAGTCAGTCATCCAGCAAGACGGTCAGGCAGCCAGAAAGTTTGAAAGTCTGTAAAGCAAGCCGGTCTGAGAGAGTTTATAAGGTTGTTAGCGTTTATTAAGTTTTTATGTGCGCCTACAAAATGTCCTGTCAGAATTTAATGAGCCAGTAAGTGAATGTATGTAGGGCTGGTTACCTTGCTCCTTGCCAATATCAAAAAAGGTCACTTCAGTATCTTTGTAGGTTTGCTTAGATCGGATGAGTTGTCTGCAGTAACCGGAATAAGTTTTGTTGAGCAAAACTGCAACTGATTCCTACCATTGTTGAAAGTGGATTATATAAAGTTTCACTGGTTAATCTCATCTGAAGACGACAGATGTTCTAAGCTGTTTGGCTTTGATACGACGTTCCGGTTAACGCAGCCGCCCAGGTATCCCCCTCGTTTGGGGCGAACTGGGCTGAGCTTTCGTCCATCATATGACGGGCATCATAAAAGCTAAAACTCATTCTTGAAAATACCTCAATTTAGTGCTGAGTCAAGAAGAATGCTCAGCCCTATCTAACACGCCATACATAATGGTAAGAAAAAACAGAAAAAACAATAGATATAGATAAAATAATGTCTAATGATTTGGTTGGTACTCTTTCACCTTGGTCATGGTACTTTTACTTGAGTTTATGCATTTATGTGTGTGTGCTTATCCAATTCTACTGTCGGACGGATCACCCAGGAATACCTCACATACCTACTATGCATTTCAACTTTAGACCAATCACACTCTTTCCAGTCATACCCCACCTGACGGCTTTCTGCCACCTGAGTCTGGGAAAAAACTGTTCGACACCAACCAGATGTTGGCCCTCGAATGCCTTACATCAAAGAGCAAGAATCTAAGTCTTCACGAGTTCACCTTCGTTTTTTCAAAAAAGTTTGACCTCAATGGATCGTCCATTGAAGGTCCCAAGGCTCGGCTTTTCGAGGATTTGGAGGCAGTTCGGTGGCAGCATCATAAGCCCTATTGCCTCCACAGCATGGCATAGCCAACTGGACCTCCGAGGACCACAGGACCACGGTTGGCTAACGTTGAAGGGCAAACTCCTACAAACACAGTATAGTTTAATCCATGTCTTGACAAGTTGAGAGATAATTTGTTAGTACCGACTATGCAGTATCTGATCGTAGAGCTCCTTCCGTCTCACCAGACTGTGTCTCGATAGTATGATTTCTATGTTCTCATCCTCTCATGTACGCTCTTAAGAACTAGGATACATAAACATTCGTATTAAAGTAGGGTTTCGAGACTACCAGTAACTCAGTGTAATGAGATGTATTCACCCTATTTC